CCTAGATACACAGTCTAAAACAGTAAAATTCTGGGAAATGAGCAAATGTACAACCTGTCATGTAATAAAGTACCATTGGCTCTTAAATGAGCAAAGTATCTCTGAATATATGGCATAATTGTTTTATGAACACATTTGGGGCTAATATATGCTCTTTCTAACAATTATCTCAAAAAAAGTGGGGTCCATGTCCCATAAGTATAGCTTTAATGTATTTTACGTAAGACGTGCATTAAAAAATAGTCTTTCAAGGACATCTGAGAATATTCCTATGCCTTTATGCTCAATTTTTAGCTAAAGTTAGAGATAGTGTATAATCATGTCCTGGAAATTGATTGTTATTGAATCAATTTGACTTTGCACCTTCACTGAACTATTTATAGAGTACCAAAATGAATCAGGCATACTGTTAGGTGTATGGCATACAACAGTAAACAAAACAAATTTAATTAAGTCCCTGATCTCACGGGACTATCTTCTGGTGGGTGAAAAAAGCAAGCACGCAAACAAATAAATATAATCAGATTACAATAAGTATGTTCAAGCAAATACAAGAATTTAACAAGGCATAGAGTGAAACGGGGAGGAGAATCCTATTTTAGATAACACAGTCATGGGAGACCTTAAAAAATTATTTATTTGAAAACGGGATCTTGCTATGTTCCTAAGGCTAGCCCTGAACTCACAGGCTCAAACCATCCTCTCACCTCCGTTTCTTAAGTAGCTGACTATAGGACTATGCCGCAGTGCCTGGCAATATTTCTTTGAAGGTAACACCTGAGCAGAGACCTATATGAATGAGGGAGGGAGCCTATAGCTATCAGGAGGAAGAGAGGTCTGGGCAGAAGGAATGGATATGTACAAAGGTCTTGAGCGAGCCATTATTTGATATCTTGTCAACAAGTTAGGGGAAACAAAAGATCCAGAAATAATGACGTCACAAGATAGACTGTGCTATTGCATTATGGGAGGTGCAAATTAGTGACAGAAGAAAGGAAGATGAAAATAATTTCTAGCTCAGGGTATCCTTAAGATAACATTTTTGGTAGTTTCCAATAGGTAGAGATGGTGATTTGGATAGTCCAAAATAAAGATATGTGGGATTGAGAGCCTGCTGAGTTTTGGTTCCTAGTATGAAAAGTTTGTATTTCCATGATAGAAAATATAGGTTTATTAAAGGTTTTCAGAAATGGGGTTTGGCTTGTTCAGGGATAGATAACAACAGGATGGATTTAGCCAAGCTGCATAGAGCATATGGGGTAAAGGGATGCTGTGTGAATACATTAGAGTTGGAGATCATGTGGATTCTGGTTTACTGGATATCATGTTAGTTACTCTAGAAGTTAGGCTATGTCTTGTTAGAATTAATAATATCTATGCCTTTTATCAGGCTTATAATAAAACATTACCAGGAAGCTGTGCAGGGGATCCACTTGGCCATGCTACAACTCAAAGATTATTTGGCTGTTTTTTCTTTTAGAACAGAAATATGAGCTGCCATTGCCCTATAAACTCTTTCTCAGTAAATTATTTGTATTTAACCAATTTTAAGTAAAATACATATAATTCATAAGGAAACTTGCAAAAGAATTTCATCTAAGCATCACATTTTATTAAATTTTTTCTTCCTAAATGGCTCAGGAAAGAAAGAAAATGTGCTAATCTCCTGCTGTGGGTCTTTGGGATTTTCCAAAGAATAACTAATATTCCTGCTTTTTTTTTTTTTTTTTTTACTTTAAGAGAACATGCTATTTAATTTTCCTTATATAAATGATTACTAAAGAAAAACAGCTTTCCACTGACTGACCTCTGAACTGAAAGCACACTGAATCTACACATTACTCTGTTGAGGTGTCTGAAGTACAATATGCTATTTACACTCAAGCCTAGCTTCCTTTTCCAATATTTTTATTTTCATTCCTGGGAAAAATAAATTGTAATATCACAATATTAGGTAATAGATACATGCTTATCAACTTGATTTCTCTACTTCGCTAGTGATTTTTCCCCTATTCTCACTCAATAGATTTATTTGCATACTGAGATTCCTTTCAGCAAATATTTTCAGAAAATGCTAATACTCTGCCTATTTGCTATATTGAAGTCTCCTTCCAAATTTATAAAGGAGCGGACATGTGTAGGCAAGATTCATAGAGTTTTTATATGTGTTTGACTTTCCAGAGTTCCAGTATTCATTTCAAACAAGGCTTGACATGGTGAAAGGCAGTACACACAAGCACAGTTAATGTCACAATCTAGAAGGCCTCATGATTTTCAGTGTAAGTTGGATCAAATCTTCTGTATTTTATTGATGCCTTCATCACTTTATTCACATGGTGAATGTCTTCTTTTCTATGCCATGATTCACATTTAATATGTTACTCTAATATTTAAGTTAGTTAATAAAAGACCATAAGAAAAACAAAAGGCAGGAAGGACCTAGGAATTACTCTAAAATCATTAATGACTTCCAGGTTATAGATACTATATATTGCCCACAAGTGTCATTATCAGTTTTTAACACTAATCTCAAATATCCAGACACAAACATGCACACACACCTGTGTTGGTGTTTGAATCAGAAGAGGAAACATATCATGAAGATATTAAAAATAGAAACACGGAAGAATTATGTAATTTGTGTGCTAAGTGCTTTACATGCATTATTTTGGATAATCCTTACAACAATTACACAAGGTAGGTACCATTGTTATCTCCATCTTGCAGAGGTGGAATTCAAAGTTTAAAGAGATTAAGTGACACGTACCAGGCAATAACAAATTAAATGTCACTCCAGGATTCAAACTCAGGCAATCTGATTCCAGAGTCCCAGCCCTTAACTACATACCAACAACAACAAAGTAAAAAACAAAACTTCTTGCTATGTAATTGCTTTTGAGATCAAATGGTGGGGGAATGTGTTTATTTCCTTAAGAGGGGTTGATTGGGATGGTGGGGGAAAAATGAGCAAGGAGGTTTGGCTTATTAGGTTGTATTTATAGATTATGATAAATGCAATTTGTGTGACAATTCGTTTTGTTAAAATGCTTAGGCACTTTTGTAAAACTAACTCATAGGAATGAGATAACAATGCCTAACTGATGAAGTGTAGCCGTGGAAATAATAATGAATAACCCACAACAGAACCTATTTAAAATTAATGTCATACTATAAATACCAAATATTGGGAGTGAAAAATGCTTAGTTATTACATTTAGGATTCTGATATTAACCTCAGCAAATACAGTTAGAAAGTGGTGCCCACAGCCTTGGGATACAAGAGAGTATATAAAACACATTATATAAATTATAATGGAAAACTTTATAGGATCATCCATTTTCCTTTTAAAAAGTTTTCTTCTTCACTTGTCAAAATCATCCTATATCAAGTTAGGTTAATTATGTAGTCTTCTGAAAATTAACAGGACTCATTTAGGTACTTTTACAAATATTGAATTCGATACTTATTTCTCAACTTTCTTAGGAAATTCCAGACAAATTTCAAAGGGTTTAGGTTGTCAAGTTACACAAACTTGTGCAAGTTGGGCATGGTAGTCCTGTTACCAAGAATCAGATACATGTTTCAATGTAGAATGGAACTTCACTTCCTTGGGAGCATTACGGAAATCTGCTGGATTTGTCAACATAAAGCCTTAAAAGTTACTTAAAAAAATAAATAAATAAATAAAAAGATGAGATAGATTGGATTCTAAAACGTCATCAAGAAAATGTGGTACTGAATTCTCTTTAAGCCAAAGGAATATGTCCTATTTAAGACTGTTTTTAAAAAAATCAGATCAGAAATGGTAGAATCTTGGTTTCTTTCTTAATGTTATTAATTAATGAATGAGTGATACTTCAGGGCCACTGCAGTCTAAATGTTAAAGTTCCTTTTTTTTTACTTGAATTTTAAAGCATGCATACATGAGACTGAGAAACATGAAGCAAACTCTTAAATAGTAAAAAAAATCAGTAATGACTTCCAGGTTATAGATACCATATATTGCCAAAAATGTCATTAATCAGTTTTTAACACTAATCTCAAATAGCCATACACACACACGCACACACACGTGTCAGTTGTCTCTAGAATACGCTAGTTCACGCGTCACTTATTTCTCACAGCGATTTTCTACTGCTGGGTTTTCCTTTTGGGGTTATGATTATTACAGGTGGCAGTTAACTTAGTGGTTCTGTAGGTAGCGGCCTATCTTCCAACTCACTTGCATTTAAAAATTCACAGAGAGGCTAGTGGGAGGCGGGTAGGTGTAAACACTGTGCTATCGTGAGTCACCGCCTCACAAAGCCAACAATGATTAGCTATGATGATTATCATTATTTTTTAAACCACCTATGCAGCGGCAGGGGCTGTGGGCACAGCCGGGAGGGGGAAGGCCAAAGGCAGTGGCGTTGCGTCTACACTGCTCGCACGAGCCGGCTACAGGCAGCGAACGCTTCAATTCGGAGATGACTCTGCCTCTAGCGAGAGGAAGCGGAGGGAAGAGAGGGGAGTTTGGTGGAGGGAGATTTACCAAAAGCGGGGATTGGGGGGGGAGAAGAGACACCGTGGAAGGCTGAGGCCTCCCGCCCCGCGCTCCCTGTCACCGAGACGGAAACGCCTGGACCCAGCGCACGGCGACGCCGGGAACGGAAACTCCGAGCGTCCGAGGCCTCGCGTCCGGGCGGCCGCGCGGGTTTACTCACACGCCGCGCTGAGTGGTTTGCGAACGCCGCACGTGACTCCCGGGCCGCGCACCCCGCCTGCCGCCGCGGGCGCCGCGGGAGGAGTGAGGGAGGCGGGCGGAACTTGGAAAGGGAGGGCCCGCCACCAGCACCGCTCCGGCCCCGCGCCCCGAAGCCCCACCCCCACCGAGGTCGCGCCTCAGACCGACGGGAGGGCGCGCAGGGGAGGGCGCGCTGAGCAGTAGACCCGCGGGGAAGGGGGTCGGGCTCGGAGGGGCGGGAGGGGGTCTGGAGGAGGCTCTGGCTGGGCTCAGACTCCGGCCCCCGGCGCCGCCGCGGAGTGAGGAAGGTGGCGGAGTGTGCGCGCGTGCACGTGTGCGCGCGTGTCTACAGGTAGCAGTGGCGGCGGCGGGGACCGGAGCAGGGGACGCAACCGCAGCCACCTCCCCGCCTGCGATTTTCGGAGGCGGCTGCTCACTTAGCTGAGGATCTGTGGCCCCGGGAGGTCTTCTCATCCGCTCCATTTCCAAGCTTCCTAGGTAGACACCAGTTTCGAGTGTGTGTTTTGGGTATTTTATTTTTAATTTCTTTTTCCTTCTGCCTCTAAATCTTCTCGGAAATTCTGCATATTGAAGCAGGTGGTTCCTGGTACGAAATCTCTGGATACATTTGGCTTGCCAAGTTTTGCTCTTCGCTGTCCCCTCCCGCTTACAGAAGCATCTGTGGTGCTTTTCTTTTTGGATTTACATGCAGGAAACGTATATATGTTTATATACCGACCGCACAATATATAAATACATATACGCGTGCCCAAGCGCCTGGTTTTCGTCTCTCCTCCCCACGAAGCGGAATGTTTTGGAGTCGATGGATAACAAGAACACTATTAACATTCTTTTGAGCCTATCTTTTAAAAGGGGGAGGGAACGCGAAGAATTGTTTAACATTCGGCCATCGTTTGGCTGCACACTAAGCACCACGAAGTATTTATGGTTGCAGATCAGGTGCAAACGGGGCTTAGAGAGAAAGGTAAGGGAGCTTCCTGCGTCCGCCGAGCTCCGGCGTTTACCTTAATCCTGGGGATTGCCGAGAACTTCCTACTCCGTGCCTCTCCTTCGCCTTCCCCACCTTCCACCCACCCTTCTCCGCTCCCCCTCTTCTGTAAACTCAACCCTTTTCCAATCCCTTTGGGGTGGGGGTGGGGGGTGCTGAAGGTGTAATCGTCTATTAGAGTTTAAATGCGTCTCTCTTTCCCAGGCGAGTAACTGAGTTTTCCAATCGCCTTGCTGGCGGTTTTAGGAAATGAAATTTTGTCCTTTATAAAAAATAATGCTACCTAAACATTTGCAGGTGCCAGTCCCTCACCCTATCCTCTGATGAAAATAAAAGCAATAAAAAATAATGAACTTTGATAAACTGGGTGGTTTTTTTTTTTTTTTCAGGGTTGGGGTACATGAAATCTCCCCAACCCTTTTTTTTTTTTTTTTTTTTTTTTTTTAACTATAAAAAGAAAGATAACCAGCAAACAAACCAATACCTCTGGAGGAGTCCACAGCGGAGGAGATTCGGCTTCCGTTTCTGCATAAAGCCAATTCATTTTACTTGCAGGGTAATTTACCAGAGTTGAGCGAGACGAAGCCGTGTCTAAATGAGTACATGACACCAAATTTCCTTTTAAATCCACCTTTTACACCATGGCCGGTAGCTGTTTAACTCTCCGGTTCAGGGGGCACGGGTTCCAGACCTGACCTTTTGGGAGAGCTGGGAACTTCCCCTCATTTCTTCTCCTGTCCCTCTAACCTCCCTCGTCCTCCGCGCGGCTTCTCTAGCCCTGGCAGTCAGTAAACTGCCCGTTTTGCCCACCCCCCCGGTGGGCGTTCTCTCCCCCACTCCACTCCTGCCCCCTCTGTCCTTTCTTCCCTGGCGTCTTCGGAGCGGATGCGTCTTCTTTTTTCTCGAGCTCACTCTCCGTGCCCCACTCGGTGCCCCCACCCGCGGCTCCCCACTTGCCCCAGCTCTTCCCGCCGCCCCTCCCCGCCTCCCCGCGACGGGTTGACCCTGCAATCCGTAGTCTCGGCCTGTGGGCGGGCGGGGGGCGCCTCGGCTGTGAGCCGGGAGCAGGCGCCGGCGCGGAGAGCGCGCCCGGGCGGCCAGCGCCGAGCGCGCGGAGCTGGCGTGAGCAGACCCGGCAGGGAAGGCGAGCCGGAGGGGGTGATGAGAGGCCGGCAGAGCCCGTCCGAGCCGGAGACACCCGAGAGAAGGGCGCCAGCGGGCGTGCGGCCGGAGCCCGGGCGGAGTGCAGTCGCCTCCAGAGCCGTAGAGCGGCGCCACAGTCCCTGCAGCTCTGCACCCTAGAGCGGTGCCCTGGGACCACGGAGACCGGCAGCATGGAAATCGGCCGAGAGGTACAAAAGGAGTAAGGAGCGGATTACCAGAAGGCGGGGAGGGTTTCCTGGCGAAATACGGAGGCTGAGCAGATGGAGGAACAATGCCGCCTCCAGAAGAAAACCCTTGCCTGAACCCTCGGCGGAGCGCAGGGGAGCTGCCTGCAGCCTTCTGCTCTGCCCAGGCCCTCCGGCGAGTTCTGGGGTTGGTTCCGCCTGTTAGTTTGACAGGGATAAGAAAGTTGCTCTTCTTCCCCACAACGTTTCCTGCGAGGTGGTTTTCAGATCTGTGTGGTTCCAGTCAAGATGTCACTCCCTAGATCCCCCGCGTTGAGCAACTAATATATTACGCGTTATTGGGCAATAAACTCTCCTGGGAAGAGAAGGTATTCCAAACATTTAAACCGTTCTCCACCGACGCCTGCCCGCCTCAACGCAACGCCTTGTGAGTAGAAATGAAAAACCACCTGAATTTAAAATGATTTAGGTTGAGATTTTTGCATTGGGAATAATTTCTTCCCAAGGAGGTTGTTAGTGTGTTGTAGAGATGAGGGCTATTACGTGTCCAATATTTGATTCATTTGTGATAATTCTAAATCATGAACACTTGGCCCCCACAAAGGTACTATTTCTTTTTGCATTTCCAGGGCCATAGTGGTACATGCAGGACTTGGGAAAGATGAATTCGGATAGTTAACCCTGTATCTGTTACTCTGCATTTTCATAGGTAGTTAATATACTCATGTGCCCTCTTTTTATACTTCAACTCCGGTAGACAATTTTTGCTTAAATCAATTGAGTTGTCACGCTGTACATGAAAATTACAGGATCTTAATGCATTTCTCACAATTAATTGCGCTCAATTATTAATAGGATCATAGATATTAAAATGTCACTGAGAAAGGGTATATGTACCTTTGTTTGAGTGTAAAACCTATAAAATGTCTCAGCATTTCCATCAGCCATTGTAACCTAGCAGAACACAAGGTTTTTGAAATGAGCTCATAAGCAAGGGCCGTGCATGTATTTAAAATATTAAATGTTAAACGCAAAAACATTAAATTTACTGTGCCTTTGGCAGAGAATGAATCTAAGTCTACTTGCACTGCAGAGTGATTGAGTGATTCACAGAGAAAGTGGAAGTTAATCATTACTCAGGCCTTCTGATTACATGGTTTGATTAAAAGAAGTAACTGTTTTCTGTAAGCCTGCTATTCTGCAGTTAGTCTTCCCAATCCTCTTAACATAAGCAGAAATTGAGGGAGTCAATCTTTGAGCAGATTCTACTAAGTTCCAGTAGTGTGGGGTAAGAAAAGCTTCTTTAGTTCCCCTCCTTCCCATTGTCTTCCTTCTTCCACCCCCAAAGTACTTGCTGTCAGTCTTTTCTTTATTCCCTCAGTGGAGTTTTATTTTGTGAAATTTTCCACTTCTATTTAGTAATAACATATTTTCAAACATAAATGTTTGAATGGCTTTGAAGTTGAAGGTGAAATACACGCTTGCAGAAGGTAGGCTGAGAACTCCACTAGTTTCATTTGCAGGGTGTTGGAAGAAGGCCTGATGACCCTGTGCATCCCTGGATGACTTTCTTGGATCACTCTCTAAAGTCTCTTCCAACTCTGAAATTCTTATATTTTATTCCACTTTTACTATTTTCACATGGTTATCCAGGAGCAGGATCTACATATCCCTTAAAATTCCATTAATTTAGCCATTTAGGGTTTTCTGTATAGGCTGATAAAATAGCTAGAACTAGAAAATACAGTAGTAAATGTAAGATCTGAGTTTTTTTCTAAAATTTTTCACATAAATTTGAATGTCATTGGTAACTTTTTCTGAGACAATAGTAATACAGATATAGCTATGAGTGACACATATCTTTCTGGGTTTCCATGTGTTGAAACAGTTTTTAACGTAGTAATGGTTTATCTCAATAATTCTTTATTATTTTTACACAAAGGAGTTATTTCAAAAATTACCAAACTAATACTAATTTGTAGTTTTTATAAGCAAAACACAGAATTAACAGTAATATCAGAAACTGCATTTGTTTAACATATACCTTTGCCATGTTTTAAGGATTTATTTTTTGAAGTGAAGTTTGCAGTCTGTTTTCATCTTATTGGACTGTCAATAGTAAGATAAGATTTTTTAGTTATGTTTTAATCATTTGTAAAGGGAATCACCAAAGTCCAGTCATCCAGACTTATTATCTCTGAAACATAGATAGGTCTGGCCTTGTAGATGTCTTAGTAACATTGGCCAGTGGTTCCTTATAGATTACATGCCAAAGTCCACAACCGTAATGACACTCAATGCTTTTCCCAATTCTTTCTTCACCTTCCTTATGTAGATCAAAACACCCTCCTCCTGTCTGTCCTTCTAAATTTACTCTTTAGTCCATTCACAAGACTCTGACTTACTATTTTCTCCAACGCTACATACCATTTTAGGATTTTGTGGTTTGCTATGCTAATCTTTCTTCATTGGTCCATTCCCTGCCTCCCTATCCCACTCATATACACCAGCGATAGGTTAGCCAAATATACACCAATGATAGGACAGGAAGACATTTCCATTCCTTGGGTGGTCTTTCCTCCATTGTGTTCCTTCCTTCCTGAACCCTTACTCTGAGCTTCCACAGCACATTGTTTATGCCAGGGGTAGCCCACCTTTCACACTTTTGATGATTGGCTTTCTCACTGCACAGTGAATTGCCAGAGGTCAAAAGCCATGCCTGATTTATCATGTCATTCAGAAATGATAGCTTAGCGTCATGTTAGAACATAAAGTCTATCATAAATGAATAGTAAATGTATTATTTATAAATGTATTTGGCTGTGAAGTAACAGAAAACTTGGCTAACAGTGGATTAAGCAAATAAAGCTTTATTTATCTCACATAAGAAAAAGTCAGGAGAAGATAGTTGCTTAAGCATTTGTTAAGGCTTCTTCTATGAACTCAGAACCTTTCTTCTCATGGGCGCAAGGTCACTGATGTGCCTCTAAAGTCGTGTCTGCTTGGGGCCCAAAATGGGGGAGAAAAAGGTAACAGTATTCTATCTCGGGATTTCTCAGTTTTGGCACTGTTGTCATTGTGGACTGAATAATTATTTGCCTTTGTTATGGGGGAGTATACTGTACATTATAGGGATGTGTAGCAGCATCCTTGGCCTCTATCCACCAGATGCTGATAGCACACCCCACCTCCACCTCATCGTCACTACCCAAGTATCTCTAGACATTGCCAAATGTCTCCGAGAGGTCAGATTGTGTCCCACGTTGAGAAGTATTGCTCTGAAATCAGAAGGAAGGAAATTCTCTGTTTCCTCCTCTCCCCTACCCCTTTTTCTTTTTTTTCCCTGCATTAGGGTGGTGGTGAGGATTTTTTGGAGTTTTGCTTAATAGGTAGCAGAGGACACATGATGAGATTTAAAAAACAAATAAGAAGAAGGTAGAGAAGGGGAAGGGGCCAAACAAGGCTCCTCTGAGCATTGTGTCCTTTTTTTATGGTGTGAACATTCTCCCCATAGCCTTCCATTCTCCTATCACTGCCAGACTGGGTCAGCTGGCTGCTTCTAGGTAACTCAGAGGTTGGAAGATAGATTTTTAGGTTGGCATTTTACTACCCTCAACAAAATTAGAA